CAAAGTTTCAGATCATTTAGCAGGTATGCTTTATGGAAATATTGAATTTACATTGCATTTAATTCTCCAGGTTCATAAAAACAAAATTCAGTCTGGTTATTTTAACTATAAACAGTTTCTCAGTTTACCTTTTTTTATCATTTAATCACAGTATATAATCACACTACAGATACATCGTCATGCCAGAGGATTTCATCCTAACAGCCACTTCTATCTTAGCCTGAGACATGTGTTCCAAATTGGCACCAGGGCAACAGTTATGGCTCTAGTCCCAGTATTTTCTGTTGTGAGATTCGATCTGATATTTGTTTGTTTTTAGAAACCTAAAACACTCACACATAATCTTGAAGATTTTCGTTCATTGGTTTGATGTAACAGGTTGTGTTGACCTTCACAGTTGATGATTACTTAAATCTTTGCAGAGAGGGAATCAGTCACATTTCATGTTACCAAAGGGGAGGAGAATTTCCCAAGAGAGTTGGCCAATATTTGCTCGTACTTTAGTTTTGTGTTGGCATGGAATAATCTCTTTGGTAAAGACAGTTTTGTTGCTCAATTGATGGATTCGGTGGTGTTACTTCAATTGGGCAATGGTCCTGGCAGCCCTGGTGGGATCTGCTGTCAGGCCTTGTCTGAGGTAAAGTTAGAGAACACTGATAAGACCAGCTGACGTCACTTTACAGACAACAGCCAACAATGCAGCTATTTATTCCAAGCCAGATTTAGTCCCAAGGCAGGCCTCTCCTGAGAAGCTGGGTACAAATGAAAGCAGAATTTTAAATAAGTGTTCAACAAAGAAAGTTGTGGTGATGTTTATTTCCTGTCACTGGCCTTATAAAGTTAAAGTGTAAAGTGAGGTCATTTTGTGTGGGAGGTTTCTGATTTGAATTGTGGTTTCGGACTGAGCTCCCGGAATGATACATTGTTTGGGGCTGAAGTGGCGACAGATGACGGTAGACTGCAACTGGGGTTTCTGGTCTCGGTGAACGGTGACCAGAAAGGTGAAAAGATGAGCGCAAGGAGCCAATGTGACTGACGCAGCTGGACTTTCTTTACGTATAGCCGTGTGTTTGGGGTTATCACAACAGTAATGTGTTTTATTGGTGCAGCAGTTGTCAGTGTACTCTGACTGGCTAGTTCTTAGCGTAAAGCACATCAAAACATTAAGGTGTAATGTCATACTGCAGCATGGTTAAAGCAAACACAGTGCAGTACGTACGTATTTTGACAGTAATGTTTTTCATTGTTTTGGCTCTACACCAGCAGGTTGTGTTTCAAATGAAACAATGACTATGAGGTGAAAATGCTGACTTTCAACTTTAAGGTTATTCCAATTCATACAGTGTGGGAAAACTCTTAGTTATTGTTTCATTTAAAAGCCACTATGGTTGGGTACATCGTCTTAGTACTCACAAAGCACTCTGTATATAAAATTAAATATTTAAAGACACTCCAAAAGGAAAAATAAAATATGGGCAAGACAGTATTCACAAAATATTTAGGGTTTAAAACCAAGTACAGAAAATTATGGAAAATGAGTTTGGTGTTGAAGCCTTGACATGGAGAGTAGTTATTAGAAGGGTTAGACAGGCTCTCTGTGTATTGAGGCAGTGATCCTTGACCAGCTGACAGGTATATTCCTTACCGTTTGAGCCTCTATCTCACAGACACTGCTGTGTTTGAATACTGAGACACTGAGCAACAGAGAAGTGTTTGTTACAACAACACGTTCACAAAACACCAATATATATTTTCCAGGTACCTGTGCTATTCCTCTAATTATAATTGCACTACCTGCACTATCTTCCTTTTCTCACCGTCTCCTCTCTCGCACTCTCACTCATTTACACTTCCTGCTGTTATGCCTTTAACCCTCATTACAGTGAAAGCCTTGTGTAACATCCTTTCAAAGAGCAGTATGAAAGGGAGATGCTGAATGTCTTTTTTTTTTTCCCTTCTCGTGTGTGTGCAAGCTGGCTTTCATGGTGTCGGCTAGCTTGGATGATCACTGTCTTTTTCTCAGCCCCACAATCTAATTTAGTACCAGTACTGACCAGGGAAAGGGTGTGTTCAATATTCACTTAAACTAAGTGCAAGCTGTACCATACAGCTTATTATAAAATATACATTTAAATTGCCACAGCAAGAAATGTGCCTGACTGTGAAATGAGAACGGCCTGCTGGAATTCTCTACTGTGCTGCACAGCAGGCTGGGACCTGCCAAGGAATGCAGAGAAGACAGTAGGAGAGGGATAGAGGGAGACGTAATGAGCACCAAGAGGAATGCCAGAGACGCTACAGTGAAATATGTGAGAGAGAAATCTCAAATGCGATGTGTAGAATGATGTGAGGAAGTCTTACATCATGAACCGCTGGCTTATTTTATTAAGTAAATTAGTTATCCAGTTGCACACAATGAAAAGGCAAGTTTGATTATAAAACCCACTAAAATGCAGTTGGCCTATAAAAAGCATTTACAGCTCCTCTGTCAGAAGATCAAATTCAAACTATTTTAAGGAATGTTAAAAAACAAAACAAAACAAGAATAGCATTTTGTCAGTCTGCTGTCAACCTCCAGTTATTGCCCATCATCTTCAACTTGTGCGTTCATTGACGTGGTGTATAATTATGCCAGTCAGTTAATAATAAGTCTTTCTGCTAGTGAGAAATCACTTATCAGCATTACAGATTATCAAATATCAGAAGTTTGTTATGTAAGGCACAATGTCTAGTTAATAATTTACAGGAAGGCAGGAGAGTCATCTAGTAAATTACACACAAAAACAGTCACTGACATATGTAAAACCATTGCTGACTCTGAATAAAATGAAAATAAATCCATAACATCTACTCGAACCAGGGTTTTTAGTTTTGTTTACAATGTGCACTTTCCTAATTTCCCTGCAAAACAAGCCTAATGAGACTGTGATGGTGATTTTTTGAGATCAACTGTGCACCTTATACACACTGCTTGTTTGAAAACGTGGAGACATCGAGGTGATCGCAGCTAAATATGATTTCAAAATGAATATTTTCTAAGCATCTGTAGTAGCAGAATTAAAATATGTTATAGCTGTTAATTCTTATGGTCTATATTTACAGCACATCTGATGAGAGAAGCATTGATA